GGGAGGGAGGGGAGGGTGAGAGGAGGGGGTGCCTTTGTACGCCCCTCCGCGTAATTCGTTTTCCTTGTTTCGAGCCTTCACTCTGCGGCAACGCCTGAGGCGGTGCCAACCGAAAACGTGTTTTCTCCTCCCATCCGAACCCTCTTCCCGGTAGGACGTTTCTTATTTATTCCTGTGCTTCTTACTTATTACTGTGCTTCTCGGTTGCGTCATTGGCGCGGCGGTCTTGCCGCACCTGCCTGAAGCAATGTGCGTGTGCGCAGCCATTTTTTTGTGTTTCGCAACGCCTTTTGTTTGCCTCTTCTTTGCCTCCCTCCTTTTTTTTGTTTGCGCGTATGTGCGTGCTTGTGTGGATGGCCGAAGCCCCGCGCCACCGCTGGGGAGGGGGGCAGCGTCATTGCCGTGCGCGGAGATGCGGCGGCGTGGGCCGCCACCGGCGCACTCCTCCCCATTCACGCACGCACGCCACGAGGGCCGCTGCCTTTGCCGTCGGTGTTTGCCGGGGGACGCCGCGGAGGACCCCCCCCCTCCGGCGCGTGCTTCTGGAGCCGAAGCCCCGAGCTGCGCCCCGTCGCACGACCCGGCCGTACGGTGGCGGGATGCAGCATCTCAGCAGGGCCTCCTCGCTCGCTGTCTCCCGCCTGCGTGGTGTTGTACGAAGGCGTCCCCGGAAGGGGAGAAAAAAGCAAAAAACAAACAAATAAACAAACAAACAAGTAAGGAGTGAAGGGAAAGAGGTGCTGAATGCGGAAACAACGCCCCCTACTTGACGCCGCTGCTGTTGTCCTTTTCTCACGTCGGCTGTGATGTGAGACGTGATTGTTGGTTTCTATTTTTCCACCTCCTATATATATGTATATTTGCTTCTTTCTTTTGGGGTCTTGCCACGCTTTATTCTCCCTCTCCTTCTTTGGTGTGTAGGCCACTTACGGAAGAACACAGCTCATTACTGCTACCAAGGCACATTTTCCCCGCCTAGTGATAAACCATCGGCAGAGAGAGAGAGAGAGAGAGATGCTTCGCCGCACGTTTGCCCGCTTCTCCTCGAGCCTGAGTAAGGCGTATCCGTTGATAGATCACACCTTTGACTGTGTGGTGGTGGGCGCCGGTGGTTCTGGGCTGCGTGCTGCGATGGGCGTTGCTGCCTCCGGCTATGACGTGGCGTGTATCTCTAAGCTCTACCCATCACGATCGCACACGATTGCGGCGCAGGGAGGCATCAACGCGGCACTTGCAAACTGTGAGGAGGACGACTGGCGTTGGCACGTGTACGATACCGTGAAGGGAAGTGACTGGCTTGGGGACCAGGATGCGATTCAGTACATGTGTCAAGAGGCACCGTGTGTGGTCTCCGAACTAGAGAGCATGGGACTTCCCTTCTTGCGTACGAAGGATGGATTTATCTATCAACGTGCGTTTGGCGGTCAATCGATTCACTATGGTGGCAAGCAGGCGCGTCGGACATGTGCTGCGTCAGACCGCACCGGACACGCCATGCTCCATACACTCTATGGGCAATCTTTTCAATACGGCGTCAATTTCTTTAACGAGTACTATTGCTTAGACCTCATTGTAGAAGATGGATGCTGCCGTGGAGTGATCGCCATGAGCATAGACGACGGCACGATTCATCGGTTCCGCTCAAAGTACACGATTCTTGCCACCGGCGGCTACGGACGCTGCTGGTTTACAACAACGAGCGCCAAGTCGTGTACCGGAGACGGAACGGCAATGGTGGCACGTGCAGGGCTACCGGACGAGGACATGGAGTTTGTGCAGTTCCACCCGACTGGAATTTACGGCCCTGGCGTGCTCATCACCGAGGGGGCGCGGGGCGAGGGCGGCTACCTCGTCAACAGTGAGGGGGAGCGCTTCATGGAGCGGTATGCGCCCAAGGCAAAGGACCTGGCCTCCCGTGATGTTGTCTCCCGCGCCATTACGCTGGAGGTTCTCGCGGGGCGCGGCTGCGGCCCGAAGAAGGACCACGTCCTCTTGCAGCTTCACCACCTCCCACCAGAGCAACTTCATGAGAAACTTCCCGGCATCTCTGAGAGTGCTCATATTTTTGCGGGCGTGGACGTGACAAAGGAGTCGATTCCCATTGTGCCCACGGTGCACTACAACATGGGCGGTATACCGACACTGTGGACGGGGGAGGTGGTCAGTCCCCGCAACGGCGACGACGACGCCATCGTCCCTGGTCTACTGGCGGCGGGGGAGTGTGCGTGCGCGAGCGTGCATGGGGCAAACCGCCTGGGAGCCAACTCCCTTCTTGACATCGTCGTGTTCGGCAAATCGTGTGCGAATACCGTCATATTTAACCTCACGAAGGAGGGACGCAGCCAGCCAGAGCTGCGGCCGAATGCCGGAGAGACATCTATCGCCGACCTCGACAGGATCCTGCACAACAAGGGGGACATTCCTGTCGCACGTATCCGTGAGCGCATGAAGGAGACGATGGCGCTCTACGCAGCCGTGTTCCGCACGGAGGAGAGTATGCTCAAGGGACAGAGCATCATTGAAGAGTGCTATCGAGATTACTCCCACGTGCTTGTCCACGATAAGTCCCCGGTGTGGAACAGCAACCTCATCGAGGCCCTCGAGCTGCGTAATTTACTCACCAATGCGCTCTTGACTATCACTGGAGCAGCCGTGCGGCGGGAGTCACGCGGCGCACACGCCCGCGACGACTACCCAGATCGAGACGACCACAACTGGATGAAGCACACGCTTGCCTACCTTGATGACAAAAACGGGAAAGCCCGCCTTGCGTACCGCGGTGTACATAGCGAAATGCTAACAAATGAGCTGGAAAGCATTCCTCCTGCCAAGCGCGTTTACTAGTAAGAGCGCATTTTAGGACACTGACTGAAAGCGGTGGTGGAGGGAGGGAGGGGAATGGAAGGGACGGGAGGAGTGGATAGCAGGATGAAAAAGAATTAGTCTTTATAGTGAAGGGACGGGAAAGCAGGAAACAAAAGAAGAGAAAAACACGTTAACATATTTGGAGACGACAATCTTTTATATTTGTGCTCAATGGGCATTGGTTAGCAGAGGCGGGGATTGGGTACATACAAACATATTCGCCTATTGTTTCACCTCCCCCCCCCTCCTTGCGTGGGTGTGTGAGTTGAGAGGGCGGTGTCTCATGAGGTTATTTCGCACCACTCCTCCCGTGTTCTTGCTGTCGTGTTGTCCGACTTTTCTAGTTCTTTCCCCCATCCCCTCCCGTTGCTCTTCTTTTTCATCTTCCTATCCCTCCTTCACCTTTTCAGCGAGGCAAGCGGTGGAAGGATTCACGGGCTATAGCCAGGTGTAGCATGACCAGTTGTTGTGTTTCGCGAACTCTCCTGGAGAGCTTCAGGCTTTTCTTTGCCTTTGCGGCGCTCGCCCTGGCCGTGGTGCCGTTGTTCATTCCCGTATTTACGGCTCCCGATGACCTGACCGGAGTCAACGCAAGCAGCAACTCCACAAAGGGCAAGATAACCCTGTGGGAGGAGCGTTTCTGGGTGCCGGGGGTCGACCATGAGGAACTCGTCAAGGTGGAGCTTGTGGACTACTTCACATGTAACAACGGCAGGAGGCGCATTCAAATTACAGAGGGCATTGCTATCGTGGCGTGTGTCGTGACGGGGTTAAACTTTGTTATGTGCATTTTCTCTTTTTTTGCCGGTCGACTGCTTTACTTCGCGCTGGCCATTTACTTCCCTCTGGCCGTTGGGGCCTCCGCGACGGTGTTCGCCCTGCTGCTGGAGTGGTTCTACGGGGGCTGGTGCGAGAGCCAGCCACCCCTCTCGGAGCGGAGTGGGGTGCATTGGAAGTACGACGTTGGGTGGTTTCTCCTGGTCGTCTCCACGGGCTTCTCGCTTCTGGGCCTCATCTCCACGTTCATTATACGCTGAAAGGAGGGAGGTGGAACTGATAAGGATGAAGAATGTTGAGGCGTGAAAGGCGATTTTATGTTTCTTTTTTTCCCCCCCCCCCCTTTTTTTTATAGCAAGCCGGGCCATCAGGCTGGAGCCAACGTGATCCAAGCTTCTTCTTTGTTCTCATTTTCCTCTCTCTTTCTCTCCTTCTTTTTGTTATTATTGTGCTTATATATTTTTTTACTCCACTCTTCCCCGCAATGTATTGTTTCTCTGCCCCCCCCCCTGCTGCTCTTTTCACTCCCGAGTGAGGAGGTGGGGCTCGTTTTGACTCTTTGAGTGAATATTGCCCTGGGCGCCCCGCAGGCTTTTGCGTTGTTGCCTCTTTGGGCCTTGGCCGCGGGGCGCAGGGCGGCGAAGCCGCTACCTTTTATTTCTTCTCCCGCTGCCTCGGCGGCGTTCCGTGCCGCGCTCTCTTGCGGTAGAGCCGCCGCCACCACCACCAACTCGTTCTCTCCATCAACACCCAACGACGCGAGGGCGACGGCGTCCGAGAGGAATATGCGCGCACGTCCCCGTATAATGAAGCGAGGCCAAGGGGAGTGTGTGCGTGTGTGTGGGGGAAGAGCGAAAAGCAACATGTATGAGGGACCGAGTCCACCCTGCCGCTGTGGTTGATGGTTCGTGGTCGTGTTGAAATGCAAAAAAAAAACAGTAATAGAAATGAGGGGAAGTTCCCTATTCAATGTTATGGCGGATTCATTTTGAATGGTCGCTGGGGAAGCGCAGAGAGCAAAAAAAAAAAAAACTCTTTGCGGTGCGTGGGGCAGATAGATAAAGGTGACGAGCAATGACCGTATCAGTATATGTTGTTGATGTTTTCTTGCAAAGGGGTGTGCGGTGTGGAAGCAATCGCTGTAGAAATGCAACACGTGTCTAGTGTACCTTCCCTTGCGTTAAAACGGTTGTATCCTGTTATTCTTATTTTTCAGTCTCGCGTGTGATGCACGTGGGGAAACAGTAGGGAGAAAAAGGTGGTGGGTGTGGGACTCCGTGTACCCCTTTTTTTTTGCGGAGTGGAAGGGTGGTATCAAGTGGGAGTGGGAAAAAATTTTCTGTTCCTCTCCCTGTGAAAATGAGACCGAGGCGGAATCGTTGCGTCGTGCTGCTAGCCATCGCTGTGTGGCTGCTGTGGGGCGTCGCCTGGTTGCGGCTCGACGACGGTGATGCCGAGCGAAGGCTGGCTGAGGCAAACGCGGCACGCCGCACCCCCGCCACCCCCAGGGTTGTCTTCGTCGTGGCGCAGACGCGGCCGTCTCCGGGTTGGTGCCAGATGGTGGCTAGTGCCATCCTCTCCAATGTGACCGTGGTGACAGTCGGCCACGGGGAAAAGTACGCCCACACCCGACGCGTGTTTTGGGTGGCGCAGTACATCGAGGCGGCGGGGCTCCGAGACGAGGACGTGGTTGTCTCTTACGATGGGGCCGACACGCTTCTCACTGGCGCCCTCACTGTCCAGCGAGCCGTGGAGCGGTTTATTGCCACAACCGCCCCCTCGTTTGAGAACTTTGCTCCTGAAGCGGTGCAGCGTGCGGAGGCGACTGCCCCGCTCCTGTTTACGGCGGAGAGCAATTGTTATCATCCACAGTTGACCGGTAGCGTGAAGTGGGGTCTTTCCAAGGGAAGATGCATTTCGGCGTACAAGCGCGTCGAGGGGTTTCTACTGCGTCAGAAAAATGCCCTAGTTGGGGATAGGCGTAATCGCCTGCACTTCCTAAATGCCGGTGGCTACGTGGCCCGTGTGTGGGCCTTGAAGCAGGCATTCATGTCGTACCGCGCTTTGATTCGCCTCAAGAAACTGTGGTGTGATCAGAGTGCCTGGGGAATGTTGTATTTATGGAGCATCTCCAGGGATGCCTCTGTATCTCCAACCGTGCGCGTTCCTTTTGGACTAATAGGACTGGACTTTCACAATAGCTTCTTTCTTTCCTTGCACGGCATTTCTCTGGGGCGGAGCATACGCCTCTTTAGCCCTTCCGCCATTGAGGAGGTGGTGGTGGAAGGTAAACTACCATTTCCTCCCTTTTTTGAAATTCGCGGCGTCCCTCGTGCTACGCCTGTCGTTCTACACTTCAACGGCATTGGACGGGGAGGCGTGGGGCTGCGGGAAAAGCTGCGCAACCATACCTCGTGGTTTGTGGAGGCCCATCGCACCGAGGCCGCCTTACTCAAGGCGAAGGAAGGGTTGCAAAGCGACGCCCGTGTAATTTTACATGGCATTGGTGGAAAGGGGAAGGAAGTCCGCTATAGTGACGTTTGTCGTGTTGGTGCATCTCTGTAGTGCTTCTCCGTGTTTGCGTGTTCCGCTTTGCTTTCGTCCCCTTCTTCAGTGTGTGTGGGAGTGGCTGGGTGTGGTGGACGCAGCCTGTGTGGAGAGTAGTTCCTGTGAAACTTTGGCGCCATCCCCCCGCCTTTTCCTTCCTTCTCTCGCCCACACACACACGCACACACACGCTCTGCCGGTTCTCCCGGTGGCTGTCAAATAGAGTAGGAACCAAGTGCATCTTCATGTCTCTCGACGTCTATCAGGCCTTTTCCCGCAAGTCCTTCTTCGTGACGGGGGGGAGCGGTTTCATGGGAAAAGTCCTCCTGTTTAAGCTGTTGAAGGAGTTCCCGGACCTTGAGGCCATCTACGTCCTGATCCGGGGGAAAACCTCACGTAAGCTGAAGCGCTACGTCGGGCCGCAAGAGCGTCTCGAAAAGGAGGTGTTGGGCTCACCCTGCTTCGATCCACTGCGAGAGTCCCTGGGCGCGGAGGGTTTTAAACTGCTCAGCTCGCGCGTCGTTGGGGTGGAAGGAAACATCAACGAGGATCGCCTGGGTCTAAGTGACAAGGATTGCCAAATGATTTTAAAGTCGGTGCATTACATTGTGCACATGGCAGCCACGGTCAACTTTGATGAGCGACTTAACGTGGCAGTGGACACAAACACGTTGGGCGGCCTGCGCGCCCTTGCCATCGCCAAGGAGTGTCGAAAGCTGGAGGCCATGGTGCATGTTTCCACCTGCTACGTGAACCATAACCGTCAGGGGAGCACGGTGGAGGAGTGCCTGTATCCGCTGCCGTTTGATCCGGAGGCGATGTGCAAGTCTATTCTCTCCTTAAATGAGCAGGAGGTGGATGAGGTCTCCGCGAGGCTGTTGAAGAAGTACGGCTTCCCGAATACGTATACATTTACTAAATCCATGGGCGAACAGCTGGTCTACGCGCGACGCGGGAAGTGCCCCGTGTCGATTGTCCGCCCCTCGATTGTGGGCTGCAGCTACAAGGAGCCAGTTCCGGGCTGGGTGGACGCCCTCACGGCAGCCGGGGGCCTGCTGTTAACCGTAGGACTGGGCGTGGTGCATGAGGTTTCCAGCCGCGGGGACGCCATTTCTGACATTGTCCCTGTAGATTTTGTGGTCAACACGATTATCAAGGTGCTGTTCAAGACGCAGTACCATTACAGGGGGCAGCGCGCGAAGGCCGCGAATGCAGAGCAACCCCAGCGGCGTGATGTGAGCGGAACGCTTCTGAACGCCTTGGCGAAGACAGAGCTGTCAAAGAAAAATGTCACGGCAGTTGTGGAGGGCGTCGCACCGTTGACAGTCGTCACGACACAGACGCAGCAGCAGCAGCTACAGCAACAGCAACAGCAACGATCGCAACCGCAAACGGAGCAGGATGTTACTGTTTCCACTTCTGTAGTGGGTTTAATGCCATGTGAAACACCAGGAGTTTCGCTTCCATTTGTGTACCATGCCGCGACCTCGTCGTCGACCAATCACCTTACATGGAAACGCCTCCGGGATGCCACACGAGCTTATTGGAACAGAAAAAGCAAACACCCAAAGGCGTTGTCTTTCATGACAGGGGCCCTTATTGAATCCGACCTTGAGTTCATGCTGCGTTTCTTTCTCTTCCGCGAGGTGCCGTATCAGTTGCTTCGCCTTGTGGCGCATCTTCCTCACCCAGTTGGGTCTAGGGAGAAGCAACGCCTTGTTGAGAAGCTTGGCCGGGCGCTGTATCGCTCAAGGGAGTTGAACCGCCAGTTCCGTGCCTTTACCATGCACGAGTGGGTTTTTGCGACAAGGCAAACTCAATCCTTGGACGATGACCTGAACGAGCGCTCTCGCTCCGCCTTTTACTTTGACACATACATGATCAACTGGTGGTTTTACGCGCAGGTGTACGCCCACGGTCTCCTGAAATACATTGTCAAGGACACGGCCGGTTTTGAGCCTCCGGAACAGCCGGCCGCCCCAACCGAGATCTTCAGGAGGGCTTCTTCGCTGTAGATAGTGCTTGGGCCTCGAACTTGTGCTCGGGTTACTGTTTTGTGGGCGCATGCGTGTTTATTTTTATTTGTTGTTGTTGTTGTTTTTTTCCTCTTGTCTGGCTTTGGCATTCCCGCCCTCCTGTATATAAATATATATATATATATAATAGATATATGCAGGCATAAATTAATAGGAATTTTAAGTAGGGAACGCGTCATACAGGGCGTCAGAGCCTCGTTTTTTTTTTCTTTCTGCGCATCTCCGTCTGTCGCCGTTGCTTTTGGAAGCAAGCAAAACAGGCTTAAAAAATGGGATGACAAAGACAAGAACAAGCAAAAACGAGAGACGGAGCAAAGGAACCGTCTCTATCACCCGCTCTTCCTGCGTGTCCGTGCTTTTCTGCGCAGTCTACCGACGTGCGCGCGTCGCTCTTCTTTT